TCCGGCAGCTTCTCAGAAAGGGGACCATCTGCTTCCAGGCCACGAGGACCTGAACTGGGGGAAAGCAAAACCATGGTAAGTGGGGACTACTGTCTTTCCCGTGGCCCCATGTAGCCCTGTGGTGAGGTGTTCGGGTACCCTCTTAGCTCTTCCAGTCTCCGTTTGAGGACCACAGCCAGAACTGGTTCCAGAACTGGTTCTAGTCCCAGTGATCTGACCCCAACTTCAGTGCTATGACCTCCTGGCAGAGTGTTTCTCCTGGTAAACGGTACTGCATCCCTCCCAAGCCTTTGCAGGCACAAAAGAATTTCCCCACTTTTGATCAGAACCCGTATCCTGGGAAACTCCTCCTCACTTTTAAAGACCTACAGGAAACACAACATTCTCCGTGAAGCTTGTCCTAGCTCCCTTAGGCAGGCGGAGTTCCATCTTCCCATATGCTCCTAGAGATGCTGACACATAGAGTAATCATATTAATAAGGATAATAGGAGTAATAATAGAAGTAAGAAGGTTTAAGTTACCATTTTCTGAGTGTATCTATGAGCCAGGTGTCCTGTTAAGTGCTTTGCATGCATTATTTAATGCTCAGAAGAACTCTAGGGGGAGGTACTATTATTACCCTCAGTTTATAGGTTATATGAATTAAGCGTTAAGTTTGGCTGCAGGTAGAAACCTGTTCACAGTGGCTTAACCAAACAGGAACTTATTTTTGCTCAAATAACATAAATTGGAGGTAGATGGGTAAGGCTGCTATGGTGGTTCTATAATACGATTCTTAGCATGTGGCTTTTGTCACTGTGGAAACAAGAGATCTGTTGTTTCCCAATCTGTGTTCCAGGCAGGAGGAAGGGCAAATAGCAAATGATGAAGGGCAAAGAGCCTCTTCTTCCTGGGGTTTTGTCTTATTAGTTGGGAAGGGAACGTTGTCTCTAACCTACATCTTGCTGGCCAGATCTGTGTTGTGTGGCCACACTTAGCTACCAGGGAACCCGAGAATTCTGCATTTTTTCCCCCTCTTAAAGCTGGGCAGGTTTCTGTTCTGAACAAAGCTGGAGTCCTGCCAGTAAGAAAGAAGAGGATATTGGATTAGAAACTACCCATGCTTGTCACACAAATGAAGAAAGTAGGCATCAGAGACGCTCAGGGTCTTGTCCAAGGTCAGATATGTGGCCAAGGCAGATTCCAACCCATGTCTGCTTGATGCCAGAGGCCATATCCTTAACTGCTATGAGAGATGACCTCCTTAGCACGATGTGTTGCCATTGTCTTTTTATTTGTTCATCCCTTCTTCCCTAGCCTGGGAGCTCCTTGGTACCAGGAATCAATTCTACTCCCCTTGGTATCCTAGACTCTTGCCCATAGTTCGTTAAGTGGATAAATGAATAAATGTTAGGACTTCAGTAGTTTCTGCAGTTAAAAATTCTTTCTAGGAAAATGTTCTTTAATTGTCCTCTTCGAAGCTCTGTAATGTTTTCTAGTCTGTATCCAGACAGGTAGCTGTAGATGTGATACGCAAGAAAGAATCTGGTCTCTGTGTCACCATGGGTGCCTCTGGCCTCTTCCACTAGTTACAGGCTTCTAGTCTCTCTCTCCCTAAATGCTTCATGCTTCTTTACAGGGCAGGGTCCAGTTTCTCTTTGTTCTGCCTAGTCATTCAAACATTCCTATACTACATCACTCTATTTCTTAGGGGCAGGTGCACTACTTGAATAACATGGATTTGAGTCACAAGTAGCTCCAATCCCAAATCTCATTTCTTGCTGGGTCATGGAGCAGGCCAGGAAGGACCTAGCTAGCATCATTTAGATTCCAGTATTTTGGCAAGGCAGGTAGCGACAGGAGGATAATTTTTAAGATACCAGTTTGGAAGGTAAAATTTTCAGAAAGCCCACCACTGATGTCCCTAGGTTAAAAAAAAAAAAAAGTCGTTGTTCCACAGCATCACAAGGAAATATCCTGGTTTTTCTTCAAAGCCATAATGTTTGGTTGGATGGGTTCAAGCCCCCTCAGCTGTGGGGGTGCTGTCAGCAGGGACCCCTTACTTAAGTTGTGGTTGCCTAATTCAGCTCAAGAAGCTTACAGGCATTTATACTTCCAACTTAATGGAATCCTGAATATTGCCCAAGTAGCAGTATTAAGAGATGCTAGGCTTCTCCTTCCAGCCCTATGGGCCCCTGGCCAGTAGCTTACAATCACTAAACAAATTGGATGATAAATATTTACCACTTGTTAAGCAGTCGCTATATGTCAGGGGCTATGCTAAGTGCATTATTTTGTCTCATTTAATCCTTAGAAAAACACTGTGACTGCTGTTGTCATCTTACAAACAAGGAATATAAGGCTTAGTGAAAATAAATGATTTGCCCAACACCGAGGGGTGATTTGGGGAACTCTGAACTCTGTCTGCCTATCTTAATCTCTAGCAGCCACACTGAAGTCATCTGATGTAAATTTAAAAACCGATAGTAGTGATACTGACAGTCTTTGATCTTGATAATCAACTTTTTTCACTCTCATTTAAAACGTGAATAAAATGACCATGGTAATAGTAATAATAATAATTAACATTTATTGAGGACTCACTGTTGGGCAATTTGTTTGAAGTTCTTAGCATGTGATAACTCCTTTAAGCTTCACAACAATCCCTTCAGGGAGGTACAATTATTATTTTTTTAAAGACTTTATCAGGGAGAGAGAGAGCACACAAACAGGGGGAGCAGCAGGCAGAGGGAGAAGCTCCCTGCTCAGCAGGGAGCCTGACACAGGACTCCATCCCAGGACCCTTGGATCATGACCTGAGCCGAAGGCAGACGCTTAACTGACTGAGCCACCCATGCATCCCATGGAGGTACTATTATTATCTTGATTTTTTTTTTTTTTTAGATTTTATTTATTTATTTGACAGAGAGAGAGAGAGAGAGAGAGATCACAAGTAGGCAGAGAGGCAGAGCTGTTGAGCAGAGAACCTGATATGGGGCTCAATCCCAGGACCCTGAGATCACGACCTGAGCCGAAAGCAGAGGCTTAACCCACTGAGCCACCCAGGTGCCCCATCTTGATTTTTAGATGAAGAAAGTGAGGCATAGAGAGGAAAGGAAGGTTTTACAAGGCAAATGAGACTTGCAAGTGGCAGAGCTAAAACTTGGTTATTTTTATTTATCTATAACACAGCTTAGATTTAAAAAAATGTGCTTGCTATGAAAACTCAGCTTCAAGGCAATCCCTTCAGTCTTGCCTTCCAAGCAGTGTGCGGGCCCTAAATCCCTTCTGTATAGGAATTCTTCCGTCATCACTAGCTCAACATTACATGGGTAGTAGGTGGTAAAGCTTGGATTCAAATTTGTGTTGGTCTGACTCCAAAGCAAGGATCTTTACCACTGTACTATTATAGCACTAGCCAGGTTAAACCCAAGTTCAAAGGACAAATCATAGACCCATCTGGAAATGACCTTAGAAATCATCTAAGCCAGGGTTTCTCAACCTCAGCATTATTGACATTTTGGGCTGGATAACTGTTGTGGGGACTCTCCTGTTCATAGCAGGATGTTGGACAACGTTCCTGGCCTCTACCCACCAGATGCCAGATTTACCCCCCCCACCCCCCTCCCAGCTTTAACAAACAAATATGTCTCCAGATGTTGACAAACATCCTGGGAGAGAGAGGAAGGGGAAAATTGCCCTGGTTGCCAACCACCGAACTAAACCAGCTCCTCATTTTCCAAACGATGGAGCAGGGGTCCAGAGAGATGAAGTCATTTGGTCAAGCTGGGTAGCAGAATCCAGGCCATTCACACAGCATCGCCATATCCCTGTAATGTACACAGCATACGTGGAACTCAGAGGAAGTAGATGCGCTCTTGGTGCTTACAGTCTGGTAGGAGAAAACCTACTGCGGCACATATATCTCCAGCTGCAGGACGTCGAGAAGCGACAAAGTGCTGCACAGGCAGCAAGGTGCAGAAAATATGATATGGTGTACTGAGCTCTGGATCTAACACTTTTTAGGGGCAGTACTTAACCAAGTTTCAGGTTCATGCTCATCATCAATGAAACCGAGATCATGGTATTTACTCTGCCTACACCAACAACTTCAGAAGGGGTCTGTGAACGCCTTGTGCGAACTGTAAAGCTCTTAAAGCATCAGGTGTTATTACCATGATTAGGAATGCGGTAATAATTATGATTAGTCTTTCAGAACCGGGGAGAGCCGTGTAGTGGTGGCTTCATTCCTGGACCTTCCAAGTCGAGGTCCCCTTTCTTCTGCGAGAAGAGCAGGCTAAGAACCTTCCACGGCGCCGCTTTTCTCGCCTGGAACCCTCGAGGCCACCTGAGCTAACTCGGGTCGCAGCTTCGAACGACTGGCCCTCCCTAGCCCTTAGGCCTCTCAAGCTCCGCCCGCCCTGGGCTGTGGCCCCGCCCTGAAAGCGCAAACTCCGCCTCCTCCGCGCGGGCCGGCACTCCAGCGGCGCGGCGCCTCCAGGACAAGCCCTCGGCCGGGCCGGAGATTCCCGAACTCCCCCGATCTCTTCCCGGCCTCCCTCGGACGCCCGGAGCGGAGGCGGCGGAGATTGCCGAGGGGCGCTGGCCCCGCCCCCGCCCCGCCACGGCCTCCCGCGCGGGTTGGAGTCCCAGATCCCGGTCCCTCCCTCCTCCTTTCTCTCCGCCCGCCTTCCCCGGGCTGCCACAGTGGCGGGTCGGAGGCTCCCGGCCAGTCAGCTCGTTCCGGCCCCGGGCCCCTCCTCCCCCACCCCCCAAACAAACAGCCCTCCCCACGCCTCGGGAGCCCGGACCGCCCCCTTCCTCCCTCGGCCCGGCGTGTGGCGAGGGACAGTGTGAAGGAGCGAGCGCGGGCCGGCGGGCGAGCTCCGTGAGTGCGAGAGGCGGGGCGCGCGGCGGGCCGGGCCGGGGTCGCGTGTGCGCGTGGGGGCGCGAGCGAGTGCCCGTCGCGACCCGCCGCCGCCGCCGCGAGTGAGCCGCCGGCGAGCGACGAGCGGCCACCGCCAGCCGCCGAGGGGCGCCGGGCCCGCGCGCGCGCACGCACGCACGCACGCGGGGGCGGGGGCAGGCGCGCGCCCGCCTGTCGCGACAGTCGGGGCCGAGGCCCAGGGGGAGGTGGCCTGTCGCGGGTCGCCCGGCTCCCGGAGGCGAGGGGGGCGCGGGCGGATGGCGGAAGGCGCCCAGCCTCAGCAGCCGCCTCAGCTCGGGCCCGGCGCCGCTGCCCGGGGGATGAAGCGGGAGTCGGAGCTGGAGCTGCCGGTGCCCGGAGGGGGAGGAGACGGAGCCGAGCCCGGCCTGAGCAAGCGGCCGCGCACCGAGGAGGCGGCGGCCGACGGCGGCGGCGGGATGCAGGTGACCGCGCGGGACGGCGCCCCGTTACGGCGGGGGTGCGGTGCGGGGGCCGCGAGGGCGGCGGGGATACGGGGCCGGGAGGGGGAGGGCCTCCGGGGGTCCTGCCTTGGAGGTGGGAGGGGGCCGGTCGGGGCCTGGTGGGGAAGGTGGGGCGGGCTCCCCCGGCTTGGAGGCGAAGAGTGCAGGAGGATCCCTGGGTGCCCAAGAGGGTCCCGATTCCTGGGGCTGCGAGGGGCTCGACGCGTGAATAGGTTTTGGTGGGGAAATCGAACATGGTTGAGGCGGGTTCCATTTCTTCAGACCCTTCCTTAGTTCCTTGGGGTGGAGTGGAAGCCGGGAGATCCTGGGTCTGTTGTCCAGAGAGCCGCTGCACTGAGTCGAGGACGGGGCGGGGGGCAGGGGGGCTAGTGGTGGAGATTTGAATCACACCGTTTTGGCAGCTCTGGACAAACGCGGCGGTGGGGCAGGGGAGCGGCGTTATAAGGGAGGGAGTGAAAAACGAGAAAACTCCTCGAGAGCCCAAAGGGGATGTGGCTTAGCTTGTGGGTTCAATCAGTTACACAAGGAGTGTGAGAAGTACCAGGAGTTCGGGAGTGGTGTGGGGACACCGTGGTGCTCGGTTTCATTAAGTTTGTGGAGCAATGCTAATGAGTCTGGAGAGAGACACAGGACGGGCCCCTCCTTCTTTTGCCAGTTGCTTCTTACACGGCCGAGGATGCCGACCCGCTCTTTAATGTCCTGGGGTATAAAAGAAAATTTGTGGGGCTGTTGGGAGACTGGATTCTGAGTTGTGGACTCAAGGATAAGCTGGTTGTTTTGGGTAGGGAATGGGAAAGGTAGTGATGATGTCAGTTGGCTTTGTAGTTTGAAGAAGAGTTGAAACCTTCGGATCTTTTAGGATTTGGTCTCCGTTGGGAGAAGAGTTGCTGTGAAATGGTGGAGCAATTGTTTAGAGACCTGCCTAATTCTCTTAGAATCATAGAATGTTAGAGATAGAGGGGACCAGAGACATCATCTTTTCCAGGGGTTCTTCACCTGGATAGCCTTGGAAGAGTCTTACCTTGAGTAGTTTACATGCACTTTTTGGTGGTGGTGGGGAAGTCAGTAGCTTTCATCTTTGTGGGTGTTTTTTGTTTTTTTTTTTTTCTTTTTTGGGAGGGGATTCAAGTCTCCAAATGTTTTAACCACCACATTTTGTAGATGGGAACTCAAAAGTCCAGAGAATACTAGTGACTTGCCTAAGGCCACCCAGTTAGCTGGTAGCAAAACTAGAACTAGAAGTCTAGTCTTCTAATTCCTATTCCTGTGCTCTCTCCATTACACCACTCTTGGAAATCCCTGCAGTGCTAAAAGACTTCCTGTGCTCCGCTCCCAGCTTTTCAAGGCTCTGCCTGACTTCCTGTGTTAGAGACCGAGCTGTATTTAAGCGTGGCATGTTTGCTGTGCGCTTTTGGGTCTCCTTTGCAGAGGCCACTCAGTTACTTGTGTTCATTTGGGTAAAGTGACCCTCTTGCTGTTTATTTTTGAATTCTTTTGTTCTGTTTGTCTGCTCTTGTTCTCCATCAGAACTCTTGTCAGGCAGAGTGATTGTGAGAATTAAAAGCTCAGGGCCATGGAAAAAATATTGAGGAACATGGGGAGACTTCGGGTGATGTGGGTTAACATCGGCTGATCAGAAGAGGTGACTGGAGGTGGGTGCTGGTGAGCACTGTCTGTTTGGTGCCTGGGTAAATCTGTGTATGTCTGTATTCATTCATTGTTTCTGTCAATCATGGTTAACAGACACCCCCCCCTCTTTCCTCTCCTTTCCTCCTGGGGCCCATTATTTGCTGTTGCCTTCAAATTGGCCAAGGATAGTAGTATTTGGAAATGGAGCAGTGTGTAGGGACTTTGGAGTATGCAGAGGAAGGAGTGGATTAGGCCCTTTGGGTGCAGAACTATCCCACAGAGAATCTTCTTCTCACTCTGTGTGTGTGTGTATCTTTATTTATTTTTCAGGTCATGCGTTCTCATTGCTGTAGTTCTGACACACCATGTCACACAGGTATTCAGATCATCATTGATCTAGCCCCCTGCCTTCAACTAGCTGTAAGCTTCTGAGAAAATCCCTTCTTTTGGGGCCTCTGATTCCTTAGTTGTAAAATAAAGGGTTTGTATAGGAGGATTTCTAAATCTTCTAAAAAATATAAGGAGTTCCCTGACCTTAAGGTGCCTGGTGTTTCCAGTCTGGGTGGAGAGACAAAAACGGTGAAAAATTAAAAAAAGAGCATGCACTTATGTATGTGTGTGTATGTGTGTGTGTGTGCGTGCGCGGTGTATCTGTGTGAGAGAGAAAGTTCCAGAGAACAGGAGCAGAGATACCATGGGGTGGATGCATGTCACAAGTCACTGCATAATTTAGAGCCAAAGTATGCCAAGGATTTGTGCCAGTGGGTCCAGAAGAAGGAGATGATCGTTCCTGCTGAAATGGTCAAGGAAGGCTTTAGGCAAGGTTGACATTTGTGGTATGCTCTGAGTAAAAGAGAGGTAATGCTCCCGAAAAGATAAAATTTAATGCTGGGTGACCCACACCTCGAGTACTTTGCTATATCATTTTGACAACAATGGTAGGATAGTTAATGGTCATTTAACTAATGTTTATTGAGCAGCTGCTATGTGCCAGGCTCTGTTTCACAGTGTAGGAGACATGGCCATATATAAAACAAAGACTCCGCTCTCATGTAACTAATAATCTCATAGAAAGAAGCAGTAAAGAAATCAACAACTGTTATTAAGGGGTGGTAAGTGCCAAGAAGCAAAATAAAGCAGGGAGGGCGGTGGAGAGTGATGGTTAGGAAAGACTTCTCTGATGGATGACCTTAGAATGAAGTGAAGGGAGGGAATGGGTCATTGACATACTTGAGGGAAAGGGGTTCAGGTAGAGGAACTGTGGGAGCAGAGGCATTGAGAAAGAGGTATCCTTGATGTGTCTGAGAGCAGAGGCCAGCGCAGCTAGAGCAGAAGGAGCGGCGGAGAGGCAGATGACTGTGGCAGTGTAGAAATGCCCATGGGCCCTGTGCAAGTAGGCACTTAAACAGTCTAGAGTAGCCAACTTTTTTAGTATATGGGTTGGTCTTAAAGCACGTTTGTTTGTTTGTTTGTTTTCCTTATAGCTTAATACAAGTGGAGTTTTTCTGAGGTCATAGCTCCTTCTAGGAAGCCTTCCCTGACAACTTTCACACCAGTCAGACTCTCCTCTGGCCTCCTCTTATACGGATGCTTAATTGTACATCATCTTGTGGTGTTCCTTGTTTTATTCATGTTTCCCTAGTGAGACTGTAAGCTTCTAGAAGACAGACACTATATTCTCTTTGTTCTCTCCTTTGTAATACCTGACAGCGTTGGGTACAAAATAAACGCACACTGCCTGTGAAGTTGAAATTTACTTTTTACAAATGATTAAGGGGTTGGAAAAAATCGAGAAATTTAGGGGTGAGAGTTTGTTTATGAAAATTCCTCAATCTTCTGAGTGTCAGAGGATTAACTTTTTTTTTTTTTTTTTTTTTTTTTTTAACAGACAGAAGTCTTTTACTGGGGTTAATTTCCCAAGGCTGCCCACTACATGGAAGTACAGCTCAAAGCTGTAGATTCCAAAGCTGAACCCTGTTGAGTTATAGTCAGGAAGCTTTTGGAGTAAATCATTACTTCCCAAAGTGGGCATAGAGGACACGAGAGAGTCTGTGGTGCTTCTCTTACAATTCTTTGGCTAAGAAGGAACCGTAGGGGAGTGAGAGGAAGGATTGTGCCTTTCGCTTCATGTGGACAGAAGAGGAGTTAGCACAGCCCTGGAAACAGTATAGAAATAGAGAACCCTGAGCGGGGGAGGAGGGAAGAGCAAATTCAACCTGAAAATTGAAGTATGGTTTGAGAAATGTAGTTAGTTGACAAAGAGGGTGCTGGAAATGCTAACCTGGTGAAAAGTGGAATGAGTTACATGTGTAGGTGTGGGCGGTTCATTTCACTGTAAGCAAGTCTGATATGTGTGGAACTTGGGCTTTTATAAAACATCCTGGGGAGTCCATTTCCTTCGGTCAGCTCTTCTAGTGAATGTAAACAATTTGATGATCAAAAATTCAGTTTTTGTGCAACTTTCTAGGAACTTAGCTGCTATATAAATAAGGCAAGGTGCACCTTAATTATGACTTAGAGCTTTCAGCAAAATCCTTTACGGCCGCGAGATGTTGGTATGTGATTATTATACGGCCAGCTAACTGCTTCTGACCATCGAGCCGTGAATCCAGTTTAGTGAAGTGGGTTCGAGTCGTAAATCCAGTTTAGGGAAGTGGGTTCGGCAGTTGTTATTCTGGCAGTAGGAAAGCTTTCTTCCTGGTCTTAGGGCAGAGGTTCCAGGTAGCCCGTGATTTCTATGCGTATGCTACAGTTCTTGAAATAGTTTATCTTCCCATTTGCTTGTTCCCGGGTTTCTTTCCTCTTAGGTGCAGTCTCTTTGGATTCTCGTTTGGGTGTTTGGTGCTGATGCTGGACATGGTGCTACTATTTGAGTAGCACTATAAAAATATTGTGCTTTCCTTTCTAGTAATTTCATGAATGCTGTCTCACAGAAATTAGGGAATTTTTTGTTTCTACTTGTCTTAGTCTCCTAGTGCATCATAACAAAATACCAAAGACTGGGTGGCTTAAACAACAGAAATTTATTTCTCACAGTTCTCAAGGCTAGAAGTCCCAAGATCAAGGCGCTGGCAGATTCGGTTTCTGCTGAGGAGCTCTCTTTCTGGCTTCTCACTGTGTTCACGTGGCCTTTTCTCAGTGTGTGCTCCTGGACAGAGAGAGATGTCTCTCTGCCTCTTCTTAGACGGGAACTAATCCCATCATGGTGTCCCACCCGTATGACCTACACTAAACCTCATCACCTTCCAAAGCCCCCCCCCCCAACAGTACCATCACCCTATGGGCAAGGGCTTCAACATACTAATTTCGTGGGGAGACAGACGTTCAACGTA